AAATTTGATTCGGTTCACGACCAATTCGGTTCGCGACCAGAGTCGCGGAATGAATTAAGTTTGTAAACCGAGGTACCACTGTACTTTGGCTTCTCAAGGATTCAAATCCAGATGTTTATTAGTAAAGAAGATGTCACTAATATATCCCAGATACACAGAAAGAGACTATACCTGACAAAAGTCTAGAAATTAGCAAAACAGATTATACTGGTTTTTCCAGTTAGCACACAGCAATGGAGCAAAGCTACTTCTCTAATGATGATTACCTGCTGATGGCCATAGCAATTATGACTGGCTGCCATCCAGCCTTCAATACTTCAGCAATGGGTGGACTCTGCCGAGCAATAGCAATCCACAAAGGAATCAAAACAATGAAAATTGCACAGATCATGGGTGATAGGTATCTTACATCTGTCAAGAAAAAGAAGATCCCAGATTTACATCTGCATTTTCAATTCTGAGGCATTAAATTTTATTGTAGGAAAAAAAACATTCAATGGTTTTCAAGTGAAAACACAGTTGCAGTGACAGACACCCAAGTCCTGTTGCTCTCGGAATTATATTTGATGGGTATCCTTTTTCAATCACCTGTTATAATAAACCAACAGAACTAGCTAATATGGGAAATAACTAGAAAATAACTGGACACGAGAATGAAAAATGTTAAACATCAGTAATAAGAATGCCCATCTACCAGGAGAGAAGTGCCTGAAAGAATGTAAAATAATAGTTTAAATATTTATGCCTTAACTTTCCATCCAAAGAACCTACAAGGTGAACTAAAATTCAGTAATATAAAAGATACCATAACTGTAATATACTGTAACTGTATATTGAAAAAAAAAAAAAGAAATAGCTAATATGGGAAATAACTAGAAAATAACTGGACACGAGAATGAAAAATGTTAAACATCAGTAATAAGAATGCCCATCTACCAGGAGAGAAGTGCCTGAAAGAATGTAAAATAATAGTTTAAATATTTATGCCTTAACTTTTCATCCAAAGAACCTACAAGGTGAACTAAAATTCAGTAATATAAAAGATACCATAACTGTAATATACTGTAACTGTATATTGCAGCACCAGCTGCAATAAACAGTGGCATCAAACAAGGTCATAATGGCAAAAATTCATCAACAGCCATTCAAAATCCATAGGTTCATGTGGAAGGTGGCTCCTTAGGTCTATTTCACTGGGAGTTTAGCATGAATACCTTTACTTGAATTAAGGTTAAAATGTTACATTTTTATGTAAACATCACCCCAAAGTGTCATTCATCTTTGAATCGGAGCTGGGAAAATTGAGTTTGTGAACACAGAATTTAATTACCTAAAGGTGGGAAATTAGAAAATCTTAATCAAATGGTATATGTTTTTGTGGGATAATTTAGCAAGCTCATTATTGTTTCTAAGCAGCAATTTTGTCATGGAAGGACCTAGCCTCTTAAGAGTGGATGAATAATCTGTAAAGACAAAACTTACTATAATTCCAACCCCACATAAAACCCATAAAATTGAGGGAGAGACACGGAGATCAAAATATTGACAGCAAATAGATCCTGCCACAATATTCTACAGAGCTTAGGTCTGGACTTTGACCTTAATCTTTCAGAGTATTTTGTTCTTCATTCATTCTTTCACAGACTTGGTTTTATGTTTGGGGTAACTGTCCGTTGCAACAACTCATTTGTGAGTTAGTTTATGCTAAACAGTCTCATACTCTCCTGTAGAATTCCCTGTTACAAAGCAGAATTCAGGTTTTCTTCAATGATGACAAGTTGTCCAAGTGCTAAAGCAGCAAAGCTTCAACCCATAATGGCTGGTCTGAGGCTCTTACTGTGGAATGCAGTTTCTGTCACACATAATGACATCCACATAGCCTGAAAAGTCCCACTATTGATCCATCTATCCATACAATATGTCCTCAGATGTCTGAAGAGTCGTCTATCTGCTTTTGAGCAAATTTGGGATAAGCATCCTTAGGGAGCAGTGGCTTGCCCACTGCTGTTCTCCTGGGACTCCCATTTTATCAACTGCTTTTCTGATGGTGGAGTCATGGACAATAATTTTAGCCAAGACAAGAGAGGCTTACAGATTCCCAGATGTGGTTCTCGGGTTCTTTATGACTCCCTGGGCAATGTTATGCTCTACTCTTGGGAACGACTATGACAGAATGGCCACTCTTGAAAAGATTCACTTTTGTCCCCAATTTCAAACATATGTCTCTGACTATTGACCTGTGGGACCCCAGAGTTTTAGAAATGGTTTTGTAGTCTTTTCCAATGGGGATGGGGATTGGTGACTTTTTTTTACAGAGATCTTTGAACATTTCTGTTGAGCAGGGAATGATGTGCTGATGAGAACTTCACTGTTCAAATCAGCCCTGATTCTTTAATGAAGTATTCACAAAACTGGCCTTGGTTGCCTTACTGAACTAGAGGAGCAATTATTTTTTCACACTGGCACATCACATGTTGAATGACTTCGCTTATCAAACAAGTAAAACATGCACCAAAGGTTGGTGTTATTTATTCACTTAGACTTTCTTTACATACCAATAGGATTACATCAAGTTCTGATAACTTTCAATGGGAAAGATATGCAAAAATCCTGAAAACATGAAAGGGTGCAGATACGTTTTTACACATTGCATCAAATACTGTGTCATTCCTATTCTTAATATCTTAATTAATTCCTGTGGATTAATTCAGCAATCTTATTATTTGAATTATAGAGTTAAAAATGGGGCAAGTCCAAGAAGAAGACCTGAAAACCAGCCAACTATTTAAAAATATTATATTTTTATATAATATTTATATTTTTTAATAAAGAGATTTAAATATATGTACAAGCTTTTAAACAGAACAAGGTTTATTGCAATACTATTACTGAATGGCCATGGCCTAGTTTTATGGGGTCCTGATGATCTGCTGGCAACTGTTGCTGGCATCTTTGGAGGCAGAGTGAGTTGCTTTGTAACATAGTTCTCAGCAGTTCACAGGCAACAAAACAGGGACTGAATGGCTCTTGTATTTGTAACTGGCAAGCTCTGATTGGTTCATGTCATGGAAGTCCAAGAAAGATGGTTCCTGATTGGTTCCTTGTCTAGGTAGACTTCACTGCCAGCGAAATGTCAGGACACCATAAAATTAGACCATGGCCATTCAGCCCGAAAATTCATCACTGCTTGATGGATGCTCACCATGAAAGCCTACAGCAGTATACTACTGAGATAATTATCAGAAGAAGGGGATGATTATAAAAAAACTTCTTAAGATTTTTCTTGGTAGGTTTTCCCATTCAATTGGTAACAGAAGTCAACTTCTATTTTAATACGTTCAAAATCTCATGATGGATTTATATAGTATTTACTGTCACAGAATTAGACCATTGGTGCCCTTGAGCTGTTTTGGATTTCAATTGCCATAAAGATTATGAAAACTGAAGTACAACAGCTTTGGAGAGGAAAGGCCATGTGCATCTACCCATCATTATGGCAGCTGAAATCCATTTCTTTTAGAATTTCTACTGGCTACAGACTAATTTGTGAGTTATCAGTTGAGATTTAAGTTGCCATGTTTCTTTTTTCTTTGAAGTGACTTCATTCCATCTAGCCCAGCTTCACATTCTCCCTTCTAAAAAATCTCAGACCAGTATTGAAATTACCTAACTATTCTGCCTAGAATAAGATAATAATAAAAGCATAGAGATGTATTTCAAGTTTCTACTTAATGACTGCCCTGAACTACCTCAAGGCAAAGGATCCTTCCATAATTTGAAACGGAATATTCCATAGCTGAATAACTTTCACCTGCAAGAAGCTATCCCCCACAGTTTTCTTCCATTGGTTAAATTACTGTAGTCTGCCCTCTCATCTAGAGATAGCCAGTTAATCTGAGCGATAAACAGAATAATCATTACAATCTTAGCCTGTTTCCCCATAAATGGGCTGCAAGAAATTAATTTATCAGTTCCCTTTAGTTAGTATCAGTCCCTTTACCATTTTCTCCCTTTCTGAAGTAGTATAGCGTTGGAATTATCTTTAAAAGGGCAGGAGACTTTATAAAAGAGGGACACAAGAATGCTGGGCCAGAAGAAAACAAACATGAGTCAGAAGCAGAAGGAAGGAAGCTTCAGAAACCCCTTCAAGCAATCAGAAGCATGCCAAACTTTTGATATGCTAGTAATCTTTCTTATAAGATTCTCCATCTGCTCTTTGTAATTCGCCCAAAGCAGGGCTCGTTGCAACACAATCTTCAGTTAATGAGTGAGAAGAAGAATTCTTGAAATGTGCTTTCATTTCTCTGCAAAAGATGCTGTTAAAGCCTAAAGCCAGTAGGATGAAATCACAAAATTGCATTAATCACAAAGCAAGGTACCTAGAAAAGAAATATAGTTTCCTCTGGGGAGAGCAGGATATAATTCTATAAGATACAATATCAGGTAACAGAAGCTTGCTGTTTGATACTGAGGAAGCGGGTGGAAGTGCTGGATATCTCTACTTGTTTTATGAGTGGAGGTGGGAAGTGAGAAAATGCTTGAGAAACCCAAACAAACTCTCTGCTTTTGGTAGCAGGATTATTTACATACTTTTCAAATCCCTCTTCTATTATTAGAGATACAGAACACATACATAACACGTTGCATCTTTCAACATTTTAATATTTTGCAGAATATGTATCCCAAGAGCATTTTGGGGTAGGGGACAAGATTGTCTCCAAAAGTAATGTTTAGAACAACTCATGAGGTAGGCCTGGCTAAGAGAAATAACCTGTCCCATGTTATCCAGTGAGTTTTATGGATGTGTTTTCTGGGTCACGTCTTGTTACACATCAGCTCTTTGAGTTCTGAAGTGCATAAGTGTTGTACTAGAGGTGCATCATGGTGTCCCCTCCTTTTACTAAGATATGGCATATTTACTGAAAGAAAGAACAGGATCTAATAGCCACAAGTAACCCACATGATCTGCTCTCATTTTTAAATGATAACTTGGCCTGCTGTTGTTACACTCTTCTAAAGAAAAAAAAATCTTTAACAGACTGAAAATAAAATACAAGCCTACAACTCAGCCAGCCTTCAAAATACTTTCTAGGTCATTCCAAAACTATCTACCTGTGCCTCTACCACTTCATAATAAGAAACTTTCATGTTTCATATAAAGGAAGGATGGCATAGGGCTGATTTATATATAAAGTGCCCTGCCATAAAGATAGAATAAATAAAGGCGAAGAGAAGGCAGAATTTGGACATGTTTTAAGTTCTTTCTCTGACACTTTAAATCTGCCAAAATATTATTTTCTATATAGTTTATACTGGCCCAGAAATGTATTCTTACTAAGACAGGATTAGATAATTTCCAGGATACTTGGAGACCAAGAATTTTGATGCTTTTTATTTGTTATTTCTAACAGTCAAACAACTTTAATTCCTCTGCATTGGTTACTTGCCTTTTAATGCCTTTTAATAAATGAACTAAGGTCTTCAGTGAGTTTTTCACAGACAGAAGGTTGTCCACTATTGCATTCCATAATCAGCCTAGCAAGACATCTCCCACTGATAGGGGTGGCTATTCCGAAATAGACTTTTTTGTAATGTATTGAACTTGCTGCCGAGTTCCTAGGCTTCTCTCATTAACATACCTATGTATCTGAAGAGAGTACTGCTAATTCCAGCCAGCAGTGAAAGAGTAATCAAATCTCCAAGGCTTGCAGCTATGGGGGTGGCAACATTATCTGGGTTTATCCCAACCTTTCTTGCTCCAATGATCACACCAATCATCACCAGACCTAGGAAAGAGATACAACAGAGATTTAGAAAGTTTCCAATAGTTCTACAAAATATCAGACATTCAGAACACCCCAGGACTGCTTCTCTGTGCTCTCCCAGAGCCCACAGAGCTAGAAGCATCAGGCTGATATGCCAGGGTTTTGTAAGCATGGCTAGCGTGGAGAGATGAGAAAATAGTATCAGATTTGTTAGCATTTGGGATACAGTAAAGAGAACCAGAAGGAACTGGAAAGAAATAGATCAAAAAATAAAAAAAGAGCACCAAAAGGTCATTATGATAATTGGAAAGTATCAGCAAGGACTGTAAATAATTCTGCGTAATTTTTAAAATATCCACCCCCATTTTTCACATTGCAAAACTTAAAAGCTGAGCAAAATGAGTACATTAACTACAGGGTTGGGGGGTCAGGGGAAGAGAGTCTCCACAACTGCATAGCCATGCCATGGAAAGAGGATCCTTTGCTGAATTATAGCTTCCAGGAGTCCTCTCCATGAACCATGCTGGCTAGGCCACTGGGAACTGCAATTCAATAACATCTGAAGGGCTACCACTTCCCATCCTTAATAGATCCTGGCTTCTACCACACACATACATTGTTTCATACATTCCCTTTTATTCTCTATACTTCTCAGCTCTTTCTTTTTGACTATCTCATTAACTTCATCAAAGCATGACTGGGTTAGTTTTTGATTTCCTTTAGATCCATTCACTCTTTCTTCAGATATCTGATTCTAATTCATTATCTCTATATGATCAAATGTACTTCATGTGTACCTATCACTCATTTCTGTACTCAATCCGCATTCATTTAGCACCCATTCATTCTTGATCCTTTCTCATTTTACTACACGTACGTCTTTAGTACAACGTGCCTTCCCCTTGCATGCAGCTTACTTTTATGGTACGTTACATCTCCAACTCTCAATTCTGTATTATAAAGCAGGCAGCACACTCACATACTCAGGCATTTTTGGTTCCGCCCCCCCCACCAATGTGCATTCCTAACCACAGACCACTTACTGCCCACTATCTTTCTACCAACATTTGCTTTTTTACAAATTTCTCCATCCATTTCCCCATCTTTAATAAACATTCTACCAATGTACATAAATTCATCTACTTGCACTAAGTTTTTCCATTTATGTACAGTTTGCAATGGTTCATTCTGCTTTCCTTGTCAAACGGAACTACCACGTTCTTTGATAAATTAATTTTCAGATCCGTATTTCTTATTGTATCATTTGCTGCAAAGCATCTGAATTCTAAGTTTACACACAGCATTGTCTCCCTACTAAAGTACAGCTATGTTCATCCCCCAACTGACATACTTCAACCATCATCATTAGCTTTCCTTATACATTAATTTATGTTGATGTTGTCATGGTCCTTCAAGTCAGCCTTGACTCCTGATGACTACATGGACAGGTCCATGCAGTGTTCTTGGCAACATTTTCGAAAGTGGTTTGCCAATATCTTCTTTTTATGATTGAGAGAGAGTGACTGGCCCAAAGTCATCCAACTGGCTTTGTGCCTAAAGGAGGACTAAAACTTAGGTTTCCCCTGCCTTAGTCCAGCACCTTTAACTACAAACTGGCTCTCTTACATTAATCCATAGATACATTAAATAACCAAAGGGGTAGCATACATCCTTGTCATACTCCCTGCTCAATGTTGACTCATTTGCTGATAATTCCATTTATTCTTATTCATGCTTTACTTCATTTGTTGCTCTTACTGCATTCAGCATCCAACATTCACCTTCATGCTTGCTCAAAAATTCCATAATTCAAGCCTAATCACTTTATCATATGCTTTCTCTAAATCAACAAATGCACAATAAACTTTATCTCATTCAAACATTTCTCAGTGACCTGCTGAAGAGCAACAATCTGATCTGTACACATCCCATCTGGCATAAAGCTGTACTGCACTCCCCAAAATTGGTTCCCTGTCACCTCTTTGTCTTGCTAGCACAGAAAGAAGTGGGCCTTCATCTTAAAAGAATGGGCTGTTGCTCCATTCTTTCTTTGGATTTACACATCAGCCTTTCTCATGTGAAATATAGCAGCTTATTCCTCTTCTTTTTAAAAAAGTCTTATGCTGCTCTCTTGTGGAAGACCTGTACACTTCTTGGAGCAACACACTTTTATTATTAAACCATATTTCAGGAATAAGGCCTCATAATCCCGACAGGATAGAAAAATGAAGGTGAAAGAAAAACATCAGTAACAAGAATTGTATAAATCTAAGACTAGGACAGTTTTGTCTAAGCAGAAGAAGTGATCCCAGGAGAAACAGCAGAAGGTAGTATACAAGATTTGAGTAAAGAGTAAATAAATTGAAAGTGAGACTGCTTTCCTAAAAATCCCTTAATGGCACAAAGCCATTAAGCTGAAGCTGCCTGCAAGCACGCAAGGGAGTCATTCTGTGAGAAAATGATTAATTTTGTATGATACTAGTGTTTTCAGAAGATACAGAAGAATGGAAGATGGTAGCTCCTACCTCTATGGAACTGATTCAGAATTTATACCTGTCAGTGATGGTGTTGCTACCATTTGTGTACAACCAAACATGTATCTCAGAAGTGAGTGTCCATTCAGCTGAGGGTTACTTTACTTAAACAATGTCATTTTTTTGGATCCTGGGGGTGTGGCAGCACCTTCCTTATGGAACAGCATCCCTCTGGGGATCAGGATGGCCCCAACCCTCTTTGTCTTTTGTAAGGCATTAAAGACCTAGCTACTTCCCCAGGTTATTTGGGCCCTATGATTAGGCAAGCTCTGCTGGTTAATTCTGCTTAATGTTGTTCTTTCTGAGTTGGATTGTGTTTGTGGCCTTGGCATTATGGTTTTTGTTAAATTGTTATTGCTGTTTTGAACCTTTGTACACTCCCTAGAGTTACTTTGGGGAGATGAGCAGCCTTATAAATGGTTTAAATAAATAATAAAGAATAAAACTCAGATAGATTGCTGGGGAATTTATTTATATATACGTGTCCTGAAGCAAAAGAGGTCAGACTAGTCCCAACTCTATTGGATCTTTACAGGCCTTGAAGATGTGGCAACATCACTGGGCACGAGTTTGGAATGTATGGCAGAGCCCGTGAGATGCTAATGTTGGATTTTGATTTTTTTTATAGTTTTATTCCAGCTGCTGATTATGTATGTGTTATGCTGTTGTTACATTGTATTTTTTTAGGTTGTATTTGTTGTTAGCCACCCAGAGCCACAATATAGCTAGTCCTCGACTTACGGCCATAACTGGGATTTGAATTTCTGTTACTAAGCAATGCGGTCATAAATGTCATGTGACCGCATCATTTAGTGACTGCAATCCCAGCACTCCCTGTTGCAACCGTTACGTGAATTCCACTGGTTGTTAGCCCAATCCAAGCCATTCCAGCCTCAGTAAAGTAAGGGACTGCCTCCAACTCCTCCCCCATCTCCCCCCCATCTCTGCCCTTTGGCCGCTCTCCACCCTGCCTGATGGATGAACTGTACAGCTCTGGGGCTGCTTGCCACACCCTGGGAAGCGCAGCTGCCCCAGTGCAGTCCCAGCCACAGTTGCCCTCGCCACCCTGCACTCTGAGACCCCTGCCTTCCTGTGCTCCGCCGCCCCAGCTGACCTTTGCTGTCTTCTTGCTCCCGCCACTGATGAGGCATGCCTGGCCTGGCTCTTCACGAGGCAGCTGCTGGCCACGTGAAGCCATCTTCCCCAGGTCTCATGAGGAAACCACCCAGCACAACCTGGAGAAGAAAGCCTTATGTGGCCAGCAGCTGCCTCATGAAGGGCCAGGCTGGGCACACCGTGTCAGCAACAGGAGCAAGAAGACAGCAAAGGTGAGCTGGGGTGGTGGAGTGCAGGGCGGCAGTGGGCCAAAAGGGCATAGATGGGCGGGAGATAGGCAGTCAAGGGAAGTTGAAGCGCTCCTGCGGTCATAAGTGTGGGTGGGCTGTCAAGTGAATTTTGATCACGTGACCATGGGGGTATTACAACAGCTGTAACTTTGGGCACTGGTCGTTAAGTCCCTTCATGCAGCACTGTTGTAACTCTGAACGGTCACTGAACAAATGGTTGTATGTCAAGGACTACCTGTAATGAGATGGGCAGCCATATAAACCGAAATAAATAAATAGATGAAAACATGTTATAGGGACCTGTCCCTGTAACTTTCTTGGCAGCTGTACAGAAGTGGTCCACCGTGGTATCCTATTTTTTCACGACGTTTTAACAATATTACATATATTGGAATATGCACATTATCAATTCCAGGAAATGTTCTATCCATGTCCCCCCTATCTGTATATATCAACAAAGCTTTATCAGAAGCAGTGACTTGTTTTTAGCTCTGCTGCTACACCAGCTCCTATCCTACCTTTACAGCATGGCCACTATTTCTGGTAAAAACCATACGAAGTGGTGTACAGTTACAAAGTGAGGATGGCAAGAAAGGCTTTAGCTTTGGGACTGTTTCTGTAGGGTTTTCGGGGGGTTTTTTGTTTGTTTGTTTGCAAATCTCTAGTTCAGTCATGGAAGTGTTGAGAATGGATTTAGACTTTTTGCCTAGCATAGGATATGATTTTACCCATGTGCCAGACTTTTAAATATTATTTATTCATTTATTGCAGAGCTTATAGGCTGTTCCAATCAGAACTGACTCTAAGCAGCACACAATTCCCCTCTCCTTAAGTTGGGCTAAAATCATACAAATATACATCATATAACATAATCAGTCAGATTGCTGAGTGTTTTCTTAAGGAGAAAAAGGCAAAAGGGCCTGCCCTGCTCTACAAACACAGTCCTCAGTCCTGGTTTCTTTGATGTTCAGAATTGTGTTGTAACTGTAAACCACATGAGTGTTGAAGATGAGGGATCTAGCAGAGATGGCAAAATTAAGTTGTTTGCTTAGAGAAAGATCAACTACTACATTTATTAGCAACTGGAAACCCCTTAGGGGCTTTTTCCTGAAAAAAGAAAAAAAAGAACTGATGATTTGATGATTAGAAAGGGTAGATTATGGAAAAAAGGAATCTTTGATGTACTGTAACCTCAGAGAGAGAGGGTAAAATATAAATGTACTTATAACTGCTGTTAAGAAGACCAGAAACCACTTCTTTATTATTCTTTCTTTTTTTCTTTTTCCTTCTTTTCTACTTCTTTTTCTATATTTTTCACTTTTCTATTTCTTTTCTCCATTCCTCTTATCTTTAACTTAACATTTTTATTGTTTTTACTCTGTGGAAAACCTTTAATAAAAAATTATGTGCAAATCGCATGAGTGGTAGCATGATACGCACATTGCAAATAGGTAACAAAAGGGATTGGCAGCCCGACTTGTCCTGCACGGTTGGAGGTGTGAACACTGCCTCCTCCGGTTGACGAGACCTTACTCTGTACGAAAGGCTCAACACCTTTCCAATCAGGCATTCTAATTAACTTTTATTCCTAATGCTTTCCATTCACTTGGCACTTATACTGTACCTCATCATCTCCTCTAAAACCCATTCCTACAATCAAAATATTAGATAGGTGTGATTCTATGTTTCGGAACAGTTAATGATATAAATATTGAAAGATACATTTTCAATGAGTAGCAGATACTGGCCCAAAGATCCTGGAAGACAAGGACCCAAGATTTCGAAAACTATTATACTATTAAATTAAATCCAGCTTTTTGCCCACAGTTGGCTCCCAAAGTAGCTTAAAACTCAGACCACTGAATGGGCTGCAGCTCATGTTTTGCACACAGAGGACTCCAGATTCAGTCACTGGCAATTGGGCTGAGAAAGACTGCTCTCAAACCCTGAAGAACCACAGCCTGAGAAAGCAGATCAGGAAGGTGCAGATTTTCTGAGCCACGGATCGCACTTGGCATTTGAATGGCATACGGAGCCCGCGCTGCTTAAAACTGTAGGGAGGGCTAGGAGAAAAACTAACATTCATTTAAACTTAATCAAAATTAAGTAGCGTTAATATTGAAAATATTTAATTATTTTTCCCTGCTATCACACTGAATATTGAAACTGAGGTCATTTGGAACTGTGCCTATGGCTTTGGGGGGCTGCATCTCAAGAGGTGTACCTGTGAGTATGCCAGCCGGATCAGTGGTCTGGCCCACTAGCAGGGCAACGTCCTGTGTCTTTCTATCACTCAGCCACACGAGGCAGTTTCCTAGAAATAGGTTGCAGGTTAAGGTACATGGCAAGGCACCTCTGCACTCCTGTTTGTTAATGACACAGTCCAGGTGCCTTCCCAAGGGAAGGGTCCAGATTGGCTACAAATAGTTATGGAATGACCAGTTATGGAATGATACAAACTGTTTGTACAAGGAGCAGAAATAAAATTTCAAAAGCAGGGGCAGTTAGAAATAATGGTATTCCAGGAATCAGGAGAGTTTAAAAAAAAACCAACCAACCAAAAACGACAACTCACCAAGGAAGAGGGCAGCTACGAATGCTGTTGTCAGGCTGCTGGCACACAGCACAGCTGCTTGGTTCAGCTCCAAATGCCCCTTAGAGAGTGCGCCTAGAAGGACTGCTGCCACAGCTGCCAGAAGACCTACCACGGTGGCCTGTACCTGTTAAGCAGAAACAATGGAGAACAGAACATCTCAAGAGACTGTAGTGTGAGGCCAGCTCACAAGCGTTCCTGCAGGTCTCTCTTCTAGGTGACGTGGGCATCAACTGCGGGTGACTTGTTAATGTGTGAATTCTCCCCAACAGCATCATCCCAAGCATGATTAAGCTTTTCAAGCAGAGAAAGGCAATATGTGTTTTTGTCCTTCACTTTATCTTTGCCAGTTACTCTTTTCATTGTACAGAGTTACTTTTCAGACAGACTTATGAAAGTAAGTTCATGTGTGAAATAGCCAATCTGTAACACATGAAATGAATTTCACCCTCCACAGGCTTCTCTTGAACAGATACCTTAGGCAGTTATTTTTAGTCAGCTGACAAATGTTTCCTTAAGGAACAAAAAGATTAAAAACTTCATTTAAGAAGGTTGTGTGGAACTAAGTGTCTGGAATGGAACAAGGACTTATTTGCATATAATATAACTGGACCTTTAAACTTATTATAGGTAGCTCAGGTGTCGCTAAACTGTAACTTGTAGCAATTCACTTCCAGGATTCTGGGAGTTGTACTTCAGGAATATTTCGTGGGAAAGCACAGATTTCCCTATCCACGATCTAATCAATTAAATCCTGTAATTTACAAAATAATTAAATACTCACACTAATAAATCAATAAACTTTTTTTGCTAATGTCAATATTTTATACTTCATGACATCTTTTTTGGGCTTGATTAAACGGGCACCGATTTAGAAGAAATGAAATCCAAAATTCTAACTCTGTGTAATCAAAATTTTACTGAATTGCTAGAGGAACCTAGATATCTCTGGTAAAACTGGGGACAATTCACAAATGTATATGCAAACATGAATGTTTCAAACCATACTGAAAAGTAATGGCATATGAGTCATATGACCCATTTTTTAAACTATTAACCTTAATTGGGCTTCCGGGTGACATGAGATAAGTTGCAAAATGATAGGGATTATTATTTTCTTGGATAGTGAAGGGAATCTTCTGTGTAGGCCTGTCCAATGTCTTATAATACCTAACACACCTGTAGTTGTAGGCATCTGGTGCTTCCAGACTGATAGCTCCTAATGCCACCAGTCCAAAGGTAATATGTAATTATTCTGTCTTTCCCTCTCATCTTAATTTCTGTATAAGAAAAAAAGTAGGGGAAAAAAAATACTTGGAAACAGAAATGTTATAAAAGCTGTGATGCCTGGACCTTTCCCCTAAAACGTGTGAATAAATAGTAGCCTCATTAGGAAATGACAATCGTCAAGACTTCGTATAAGAACAGGACTCCCACTTCTGAAATGATACAATTAATAAATAGCTATAATAAATGTACACCAGCTCAGTTATCCAGGGGTTGTAATTGACTAGTAGGTCTCCATCCAAAATTTAGATTTGCTTACCTGAATCAAGGCCAAATTGCAGATAACCATTTTCCATTTTTCCTGTGTATTATCCATCCGGCCAGTATTAGCCTGAAAGACACAGGAGACACAGTTTAAATCTTACCCAGGGGAGGGAAGGCAGAGCACCTGCCACAATAAGACTGCACCCAACCTTTGGCAGGATTCTGCCAGGGCACCACTATCAGTCTCTTTCATTTTCATTTTTATTTATGAAAAACTTCTACAGCTACACCTGCGGGGAATGGATTTCTTTTTCCTTCCAACTGGCAATGGACCAGTATAAAAATAGATTTTCAAGGACTGTGGCCCAGTTTGGAATACACTTGGGTGCACACACTCAGGTGTTACAACTGCAAAGGGTCTGAATTCCATACTCATCTCCAAGGCCGGTGCCTCTGGAGTCTCGCAGCAGCTCGTAGAAGGAGTAACCTGATATAGATAGTAAACCACCACATTCTACCCAAATATATAAATGTTTCAAATCTCTGAAAAAGAGGGAGGAACATTGGCAAAAATAAAGAACTGGGAATGCTGAACATAAAAAAGCCATCTTTTTAGCTGAAGTATAGTAGGCTGGCCCCAATCTTGCTGGCCTTCCAGAAGGGTCTGAAGACCTGGCATCGCCCTCTGGCCTGGGGATCGGAGAATGGTGTGAAGCCCATAAAATGGCTGTACTGTTCTTGAATGGCTGTGCTCTCCCAGGGATTATACTCTATGCCTTTAATGGTTCAATTGTTTTTAACGTTTGTATTGTTTGTATGGCCGTTTTATTTTTTTATTTTTTTGGTTCTGTTTATGTTTTAATTGTAAGCCGCCCAGAGTCACAAATGTGAGATGGGCAGCTATATAAATTGAATAAACAAACAAACAAACAAATAAATAAATAAAGGGAATTACAATCAGACAAAATATGGCAACCCTTCTACATACTTCTAGAGACCAATCTACTAACAAGAAGAATATTTTTAACACTTCGGGTCAGCCTAAATGCTTGGTGAACCAGGGTGTCATAAATTCAAGATGCCAGGCTTAATACAGAGGCACGCATAGCAGCACATGCAATACTAGCTCAACTGTCCTAAGTGAACACAGCACAGGCTATCTTGGGACGGATTGTTAATAACCCTTCCGTCTCACAACCATGGATGGCAAATACTACATCTAGCATTTTGTTACATTATGTAGGGCACATAAAGACTTTACTGCAGAGATCACATTTATAATAGTGAGGAACTTCACTCCTGTCTCTCTGTAGATCCAGATCAAGGGCTTGTGGCTTTACCTCTAAAGTGGCTCCCTCAAGCCACACCAACATTAAGAACTGCAGCAAGAGGTGATAATAATATTATGGCTTTTTTCCACAGAGAAACAAATTTATTAATTAGGTGAAGCATGTGTATTAAAGACCTATTTCCTGCAGCTGAAATCTTGGATGACACTAAGGAGAATGGGGAGAGTGGTGTGGAATATGGGCACATTTATGTTTTGACTGTCCTCTGTCTCTCCCTGGGTGCTTTGCTTAAATATATTGCTGGACCCCCAAAATATAATTCTTTTCAAATAAGTGGTACTGTAGGGAAATAAGAAATACAGATGTAACAGAAATGTTGTGCATGACCACTATGGAAAGTAAAACATACATGTCCAACCTGTATAAGCATGATAAGAACTACCGAGCCACGTATTACTATGCAAATCCATTTTTCACTACTGGATAGTTGACTACATGTCAATACTTTTCTTGCCAAACAAGAGCTCTGAATCCTTCTCTGTATATTAAAAACAGAGGACACTTACAGCTGTAGAAAGTCTAGACGCCAAGGTCATTTCAAGGTTGCCTTTCAAACCAACCAGGGCTGGAATCAGAATAAATATTTCTGTGATTGTCATAAATACTTTCCAGTGCTGAAAGGGAGAGAAGAAGGCATTAATCCATTGGGATACTAATTGTAACATGCACATTCATACAAGCTTTGAACTACTGTGCTGCATACATTTCCCAGCAGCTTTGAATTGTATGCTGCTTTTCAATGTAGAGAGATCTTCCATCAATACAATCTTTGGAACTGCCTACTAAATATCTAAGTAACTGTTAATAAAGAAAACTGAAATAAGCCAGCATTCTTGTGACAGTCCTATAAAAATATGTAACAAAACTTGGCTCAGTCACTTGAAGCCAAATTCATGATGAAAAAAAGGTAGATGAAAGGCTGGATAAGATAGGTAACTCTGTAAAAAAAAAGTCTGGAAACATAAAACAAATGTTTGGAGGTATAAAACAAGTTACAGATAGGATAGAAATTTTAGAGAGTAAATCAGAAGTTAGGGATATAGAAATGGAGAGAGAGATAGACAGTGTAGTTTTGTTGGAACTTAGAGAGAACGAATTCTGTTTAAGGTTTAGAGATATTCCAGAGAGCCCTGATGAAGATATTAAAAGAAAAATTATATGAGCATTGACACATTTTTTAGACTGGGAAGAGGAGGATACTGAGGCTGAGACTGACAAGATGTATCATATAAATTCACATTTTGCAAGGATAAGAAATGTTCCAAGGGATGTTTTGGTGCATTTTGTGAAGAAAAAACAGGGGATCAAGTTTTGCAACAGCATTTCAATACAAGATTGAAGACTGATAATGTAGATATAATTATCTTTAAAAAAATCCCTATCAGAATTTTATGTAAGAGAAAGGAATATTCATTTTTGACAGAGATACTAAAATAGAATAAGATTTCATCCTGTTGGGATAAATTAGAGAGTGTGATTTTCACTTTTAAATAGAACAGATTCTGACTGAAATCTGTTCAAAAGGCCAGAGAATTTTTGGAAAAATTTAATTTGCAAGAGGTTCAAATGGAAGTTGTCAAGAAGATTGCTCCAAAACCACAACAGATGCAAAAAGACTCTGGAAAAGATGACTATGAATTAGGTGCTACAGGCATTGATTTTTCTAAATTATTGGCCTAATTATGGATTACAAATGCTTAATGTGGAATCTAAATGGAGCAAATGCTCCTCAAAAAATAAAAAAAAAGTTTCATTATATAAAAAAATTAAAACAAGATAGAATTTGCCTACAAGAGACTCATATTAGAAAAAAGGATATAAAATATTTGATTTGCAAAAATTTGAGAGAAGAATTTATTTCAGCTGGACCTAAAAAAATAAATGGAGTGGCTTTACATGTTAACCCCCAACTAAAATCAGAACTTGTATTGACTAATGAGCATGGCAGATTTGTTGGGGTAGAAGTCAAATTACATGGGATTAAGACCATGGTCTTGGGAATTTGTGCCCCAAATGAGGATAAAGGAATTTTTTTTATAAATGATTTATGGAACAACTGACAAGTCTTTTTTATGAGAATTGGTGTTTGAAGGGAGATTGGAATGGAGTGGTTTCTCCACAATTAGATAGAACATCAGAGATGTTAAAATTACTCAAGGTAAACTACCAAAGGCTTTTTTTTTATTTGATGGACAATTTAGCCCTAGTAGATGTATGGAGACAGAAAAATAATAATTCCAGAGACTATACTTATTTTTCAGAAAGACATAGATCTTTTTCAAGAATAGATATGATTTGGACCTCAAAAAATTTGGCTACTAAGATTTCTAAAGTTGAGATTTTACCAAAGGCCTTTTCTGACTATAATCCTGTGTGCTTGATTTTTAAAAGGAAACCTACTTATTTCAGATGGAGATTAAATGAAATGTTATTACAAAAAGAGTTGATAGTGGAAGGCTGCAAAAAGAAATTAATAGAATTATTTGAAAACAATTTAAATAAAGGTACTGGTATAAGAATGGTTTGGGACACAAGTAAAGCTTTTATTAGAGGTTATTTTATACAACATAATACTGAATTTAAAAAGAGGACTCAAGAGAAAACACAGGCTATTTTGGATGAGATAAAAAGAAAAGAGGAAGAATTAAAGAAATTGCCAGGAAAGCAAGCATTTCACATCAAATTATACTTTTACGGCAACAGTTATCTATGTTAACAATAAGAGAAATGGAAACTATGCTAAGCAAAAGAATTTTGAATATGCGAACAAACCAGGGATGGTTATCAAAATTAAGAAAAGACAAAGAAAATATAATTTTGAAACTTCAAGAGGGAGATACTGCATTAACGGATAGCGGCTATACAAAAAAACATTTTATCAATATTATTCTAACTTATATAAAGGACATGATATTCTCTTGGAAAAAATAGATGATTACTCAAAAAAACAAAATTTACCAAGGCTTACAGAAAACCAAAGACAGACTATGAATGGACCTATAACAATAAGGGAAGTTTCCGAAGCTATAAAAAAGATTAAACCAGGAAAAGTACCAGGACCAGACAGACTGCCAGGTTCTTAGTATAAATGTTTTGAGGATAAATTTTTACAACCCCTCCAAAATATGATGAATTCTATAATACAGGGAGGGAAGATGCCAGAGACTTGAAAGAGGATAATATAGCATTAATACCTAAAGAGGGGCAAGATCTAAGGTTAAGAAGAAATTATAGACTAATATCATTATTGAATAATGAGTATAAGTTGTTTGCAACAATTTTAGCAGACAGATTGAAAATAATTCTGCACTAATTTATTTATGAAGATTAGTATGGATTTTTACCTAAAAGACAATTAAAAGCGTGTCACAATGGTGTTGGATATTATAGAATATTTGGAACAGCATAATGAAAAACACACATTAATTTTCTTAGATGTAGAGAAAGCTTTTGACAATTTAAATTGGCCCTTTTTATTTTAAAATTTGGAACATATGAACTTTTCAGAGAACTTTATAAAATGGGTAAAATCTATTTATACTTCGTGGACAGCACAAATTATTGTTAATGGTGATCTAACAAAACCTTGTGAGTTACAAAAAGGAACAAGACAAGATAGCCCATTATCTCTTCTGTTTATTTTGGTTCTCAAGGTTTTGAATAGAGATACAAGGCAAGATGAGAGGATAATGGGTGTAAAAATTAAAAATGAGACAAGTTGAGAGCTTTTGCAGATGATCTGGTACTGGTTTTGGAAGATCCCTTAAAGACAACTGAACTACTAATGAGAAAATTAAAATAATTTGGTAGGTTAGCTGGTTTTAAGTTTAATAAACAGAAGACAAAGATGCTAACAAAAAATATGAAGACACAAGATCAAACAGAATTGATGGACAAAATGGGTTTCAAGATTGAGAAAAAAGTAAAATATTTGAGTGTTACTTTGACAAATATGAACTGTATGTTATTTCAAAATAATTATGTTAAGACATGGAATGAAGTTTAAACAGTTATGTTAATATGGGACAAATTACAATTGTCATTGTTGGGGAGAATTTCATATTTGAGTGTTACTTTGACAAATATGAACTGTATGTTATTTCAAAATAATTATGTTAAGACATGGAATGAAGTTTAAACAGTTATGTTAATATGGGACAAATTACAATTGTCATTGTTGGGGAGAATTTCTGTGATTAAGATGAATGTTTTGCCTAGAAAGTTATTTTTGTTTCAGACAATGCCTGTTTTGACAAATGATGTATCAATGAAACAGTGGCAGAAAGATATAACTAAATTTATCTGCCAGGGGAAAAAAACCATGAATCAAATTGAAGGTGTTACAAGATGCTAAAGAAAGAGGAGGTTTGCGCTTACCTGACCTGAAACTATACTTTGCAGTTGTTCCTTAGTTTGGTTGAAAGAGTGGGTAATGCTGAGAAATAGAGATTATTGGAGCTAGAAGGACACAATTTGAGATTTGGGTAGCATGGTTATTTATGATATGATAAAATTAAAGTAAATTTTGACTTTAAAAATCATTTTGTTAGATGGGCCATATTGAGAATACGGAATAGATATAAATCCAGATTGTGTCTGAAAATACCTCTGCGGCTGTCACCACAAGAAGCATATTATAGAAGAGAATGATAACTGAACATAACTAGCATTTATCACCTTTAAAGCCCTACATGGCATGGGTCCAGGTTACCTGAGGGACCATCTCACCCCATTACATCGACCCATCCCACCCAGTCCAGCAGAGAAGGCATGTTGCTGATCCCATTGGTGAGAGAATGTCGACTGGTGGGTCCTAGGAGGAGAGCCTTCTCTGCCATTGCCCCCACCTATGGAATACTCTCCCCCCAAAGGTGAGGCAGGCCCCTACCCTCCCAATTTTTTGGAGGGAATTGAAAACTTGGTTCTGCCAACTTGCATGGGGCGAGGAAAGATACAACTGACCCCGGGGATGGCTGGTGCCTTGACAATGCACCCTGAGTTTATTAACACCTAATTAATATCAGCCTCTTGGAAGTATCATATAGGAAGTTTATTTTCTAGCATATTTTAATTAATTGATTCATATTTATCTATTTTAATTAATGTTTTTTCTGTTTTTACTGTAAACTACCCAGAGCCACTCTGTAGTGAGATGAGTGGTGACAAATTTGAAATATTAAATAAATAAATAAATAAATAAATAAATAAATAAATAAATAAATAAATA